TTGTGCCGTCATCCTTGTTGCAGTAGCTGCTGCTGCTGCTTCTTCTATTTTTATTTTGTCGTCAAAACGTCAGCCGCGTTGCCGTCTCGTCGTCGTCGTCGTCGTCGTCGTCGTCGTCGTCGTCCTGGTTGTGTCCTGTTTGTCCTGCCTGTTCCCGTCTGGAGTTCGTTCCGGCGCAGCGTTCGCTTGGCTTAATTTTGGTCTTGGGAAAAGTGCATAAAAAATCTGCGGCGAATTTGCAATTTGAATTCGACTCCCATCCCCTTGGAGCGCCTGCCCCTACTCAGCCATTCTGTCTGCTGTATGTGTCGCCTTTATTGGGCCCCGGAACATGAATTGGGCTTGGGTCTGGTCTCTGGTCTCCGGTCTTGGCTGTCTTGGCTGTCCTGTTGGCTCCTCCGTTTCAGCAGCGTCTTGACAGCCAGTCAGACAGCCGGCTATTTAGGAAGTAATTTTCGCGCTTTCATCGCAACTTTTTTTCCTCCTGCTCTGTCTGTCCGTTTGTCTGTTTGTCTGCCAGTCTTTTAGTCTGTCTCTCTGTGGCTGCATTTGGGGCACGTTATTCACGTTAGCCCGTTATTTTAGCTGCCTTCTTGCCGCTCGCTGCACGCGCCTTTAATGCATTTTTTAAAAAGCCAAATGCGCAAATTGAATGCGCCTCGTGCCGACATTGCTGCGGTATCCTGGCGTATGACGCACGTGCTCCGGCCAGGACATCCCAGTTTTGGCCGCACAACGACACGCAGGCATAATTTTTGTCGCTGCACTCAGGCCTAATGAATATTTCAACAGTCATATACTCTCGTCCATATATAAATATATAATACACATTGCCATACTCGTGCTAATATAGTATATACGCCCCACCCCCTCCTCCAACCCCCTCACAAACTGTATCATCAGCTAAATGTCAAGCTAAATGAGCATCCAAATGTCGTCAGGTTTTCTACATTTTCCCTCCAAAAAAAAATTAAGTGACTGCTTGGCTTTCAAACGTCAACAAAAACGGATTATAAATTAATTTGGAATGTGCCGCAGTGACACGAAAACTCGCTGGGAAATTACCTATAGATATTATAGAGAAACATATGTATATAGAAGGAAAGTACTAAAATTTTGCACAAAAAATGCTTGCATAGCATCAGCAACTGCGACGGGTCGTTGTAGTCATTTCTGCCTGTTCGGTTGACTGCTTTTATGCCAAGTTATCTCTCGGATCTGAGGCTATTGTAATATAGCTTCGCATACGATGTTAGAAAGTTTATTTTTTATATAAGAAAATGCTTTATTTTTTTAATAATATCCCTACACAATTCCTTCTGCTTCGTTAATATAACAAGACTGTGAAAAACATTTAACTACAGTAAAAGCTCCCATTATGCACAACTCCTTTAGCTGAACGCGATCAATTTTGTTTTAATTACCTCTCATAAGCGGACAGAAGCAATGAACCTCAAGACAAGAATTCTACTTAATATTTAGTGGGCCTTCTTACGAATTTTTACTCATATTCAATAAAATGTATTGTTTTCAATATAATAACAAAATAAAAAATATTCTATATAGAAAAACAATAAAATGTGTTTTTAATAAAATTTTAATTAAATAGTAATAAAATAAAATGTATTTTAAATAATAATTAAATAAATATGAACGCATTCTATTTTTTATAATTTATTTTAAATACTAATAAAATAGAATGAATTCTGAAAATTAATAAAATGAAATGTATTTTATAAAATAAAATATATTCTTAATAGAAATGAAATAAAGTGTATTCTAAAGAAAATAAAATAATACAATTAAATTATAAAAAGTATTACGATAATTAAAAAAATGATGTGCTCTGAAAAAAATAAAATAAATTAAAATTATTTTATTATTAATGTATTCTAAATAATAATGAAATAAAATGTATTCTGAGTAAAAATAAATTAAAAATCCAATAAAATAAAACGTATTTTCAATTAAATTAAATCCTAAGATTAACAAAATAAAATGTTTTTTAAATAATCATAAAATAAAATATATTCTAAAAAAACCCAAATATAATAAAATAAAAAGTATTTTAATAGAAATGAAATAATTTTAAATAAAAATATAAATAAAATAAAATGTATTTTAAATAATTAAATAAATAATTATGTGAAATAAACTCTCAATAAAAAAATAGACAATAAAATAAAATGTATTCTAAGCAAAAATAAAATTAAGTTTATTCAAAGAAAAACAAAAATAAATAATAAAGAATTAATATAAATTAATTTAAATAATACTAAAATAAAATGTATTTAAAATAAAAATAAAATGAATTAATGATAAAATAAAATAAAAATAGAATAACAATCAAAAAGTGTATTCGACTTATATTCTTTTGAGCCACACCTTTCATCCAATTCCCTGCGTTCTACTTCCGTTTTTTTTTTGGTTAGTATAAACTGGAGATAAAAATGAAAATAATTTTTTTTACGACATATATATATGTTTGCTTAGATTGAAACGTTTAATTAGCCCCTTGTAGCAGCCCTTGGACGGACCATCAGCTCCTAGGTGTTGCCATGTTAGCATATCAAGTATTTTCTTATTGCTTGGCGCAATCTTCTAATTAAAATTGCACCTCATGCCAGAGCTAACCTCTGGTGCGCTCATCACAACTGACCCAAAATGAACTCTTTCGGCGCCAAGCCAAGTCCCCACTTGAACAGCGTAACCCTCACTAGTACGGCCCCCGCCCCTCGCCCCCATCAAGGAACACCCCAAGCGACAAGGCAACCACAATTTAATCTCTGTGGCATTATGTACCCCCAGTTACCTCCTTCAAATCCACAATGCCCAGACCAACTGTGTGTCTTGAAGCCAGCTCTTGGGTCTTCATCGTACGCCCCCTCCAGGCGCCCAATCTCTAGTGCTCCCTCTTCTTTTTTTCTTCTCCTTTGTATTTGTTAATAAACTCCCTGGCAGACTAAATTCAAATTACGCACACATCTTAAGACATAGAAGTAGGCAACGACGTCGGCAGCGACGCTGGCAGCGGCAGTCATTTCGCTTATGGGCGGCTCATTATGTCAGGTCTATATTCATATACGACACAGCCCCATCCCACCTAGCCCACACCCACCCACATTCCCAATTGCCGCATGCGTGAGTGCGTTTCGAGAAGCTGGCACAAGCTCCAGCTGAAGCTACATTGAACGACTCCGCCTTTTGACTTGGCTTGTCGTAACATTTCATCTTTATTTTGGCATTATTCCCATGGCGCCGCTTATTGTTTTTCGTGAAAATGGCAACGGCAATGGCAACAAATTAGAAGCGTGCCCAACGCCCGAAACGAACGCAGCAGCAAACAGCCAACATCCAGTTGGCCAGGTCTAATTGGATGGGAGACATAGTTCTAAGGCATTTCTTGAGTGCCGTGCAGCATGCACTACGCATTGCCAATCCCAATTAATCAAGGGACTTGACTTTCAATTGAGCTTATAAAATATCTAAACAAAACTAAAACCATACAAAATGTACTTACCTGTGACAATAATCCTTCAGCTTGGTAGGCTGCTTAGCGACATTTTAATGTCTAAGACTGATTTAATTAAAATTGATCCAAAACAAGAAATTATCTGCAAATATTGTAAGAGAAAAACATTTATTTATTTTACTAAGTTTATTTAAATTTATATTATAATCAAATTAAGACTACATATAGCTCTTAAAAATGAAAATTCTAATTAGAATTTTGCATTAAAAATTCTTAGTTTTAAATATATATCATTTTTAAATTGCTCCATTTTTAGCATTTGTTAAAGGTTTTTTAAACGTCTCTTCAAATCTATATGTAAAAATCATTTTTAAATAATAAATAACTTTTAAAAAAATGCTTTTGTTATTTCGAAAAATAAAACTTTAAAAAATTCATTTTTTTCTAATTGGAATAACCTTGGATACTGCAAATTTTAAATTAAATATCTGCTACTATTACCTAGTGTTAGCGCACATAATAATATTTGATAAGATAACGTAAAATGTTTTCTAAGTAAAAAAAATTAATATTATTATTATTATTTGATAAGATATGACTTCGTTCGAATCTAAGATTTACATTTAAAATAAAAACAACAAAATTATAAATTCAAAATTTGTTTAAAGATTATTTGTCACATCAAACATTAAGCGAAAATGTCAAAATGTATTGGAGCTTTTTAAGTTTATTTAAAGTTCAATTTATATATTTACTCTATTTTATCTCTAGTTCACTTAGCACATGTTCATACCAAAACTAAGTGGATTTTATTTAGTTTTGACCACAACCCGTTTAGATACCAACAAAACGAAGCACAAGGTCATTGATAAATAGTTTGTGACTTGGCTAAAAACAGTGTTGGAAAGTAATATTAGGTAATTGGAGCGTGATACAACAAAATAACAAAATATTTGACTTTTAAAAAAAAAAAATGCTTGCGCGTTTTCAATAATGTTTAAAGTTGGCTATACCAAATAAAGTTACAGCAACGAATTTTTTTAACGCGGTTAGTGTTGCAACTCTGTTTGTTTATGGTGTGTGACACAGCTAAAAATAGTCAGGGGAACAGTTTTGCACAGTTTACATAGTATTTTATGTCCATATTTAATTCAATTCTTTTTCACATATCTATATGATTGTATTTTTGGTATATTATATTGTAAAAATTGTTTTAGCAAATTGCGTTATAAAAACTTATGGAATTCATTCACCAATGACAACAACCAGCTAAAAAACATATTCAACATACAAAGCAGTGTTGCACAGCACACGAATTCCAATTAGCGTTGCCAAATTGTCATCTTTGGCAACACTAAACGCTTTGGTGTTATTTTTAAAAATTTAATACGCGGCTATTTTCAAAATGTGAGACTACAACACAAATTTTATTAGTATTAATAACATAACCTCTATAAGCGGTACTTACAGAACATGCAGTCGAAATCCATTGTATTCACAAGGTTTTCTTTAGCTCACATTTAAAATATTTCCTTTTTTAAATCGCTTCCTTATTTTGTTTATTATTCTGTATATATGCAACGTAGTCAAAGGATTCAGCTTTATATAAATTCATCATAAAACAGTTGAAAGTTGATTAACAGTTTCCATTTCTTCTCGGTTTTTTAGTATTGTTTTCCACACTGTTTCCTTTTATGTTCATTTGGTATATCCTGCAACCTTTCATTTACTTAAAATTGTCCATGCAACAATATTTTAACTAACGTTTTAGAAATTTTTCGATTATGTTCAGGCTAGTTTTAAGAGGTTTACAAAGAGGTCTCCCTCCCTCTCCATCCTTTTATAAACTCTGCAAAATGTGTTCGTGTATTGTCAAGGATAAACGGATGAAATATTGCCTGCTACTTTTTGAGGCTCCATGCATTGTTGCTGGGCACAGGCACGCGACGTTGTCCAGATTCACGTGCCAGCACCTCCATGATGCTTGTGGCTGGTAGCCAGCACTAAATAGGGTATATGACAGTCGGTTAGAATTGAATGTGATTGATTAAAGTACATTTTACTCACCCGCTCCTTGTGCGCTGTGGCAACTACATTACGATTGGGCTCCTTGTCGTAGGAAACAGACTCCACGCCAAAAACTTCGCATAGTTCATGCACCAATTGACGCTTCTCACGATTCATTGTGGGAAACGAGTGACTTCTCGACTTTTGTTTGCTCTCCTTGGCCAGCTTGACCAGATCGGTGAGTGTTTCATAGACGCTCTTGGTCAGCGCCGGATTGCGTTTGGCAAAGCCGCGCAAGAATTCCGAGTACTTTGTCAGCGACTTGAGCTGCGTCTCCGGATTACGCGACTGCAATCCAATAGCCAAGCGACGATTGCGCTCCAACAGACGACACTCATCATTGCAGTTCAGGCTAAAATAAATATAATAATAAAATATATCAGATTGGCCTTTACATTGCTTTTCGACCTTTTCGATCCTTATTCATCTATTTTTCACTCACAATGGTGGAAACCAATGGGCATAGAATTGTTTTTAACAATACAAATTTAAATACAGGGCATGGTAAATTACATTTATAATCTCTGGGTGATATAATGTTATTAAAGTTCTTAGTTTCCATTGATCTCTGTGTATTTACGTTTCTGTGTATTTACGATCTTTAAAGAGAACTTACAAGTTACTTTAAACTGTTTTCCCCCATTTTCCGAACATAGAATAGAAGTGGAATATATAATCAACCTTGTACTACTGCTAGCGTCATTTTGTTTAAATAATTCCAACCTTTAACGGCATAAGATATTCTTTGAGCTTGAAATCGAAAAGTCCCACCACAACAACTCTTTGACCGGCGATTCCCGCCAGAACGGAATGGAATTACCGAAAAGTGTGACACAGCTAACAGGAATTTTCACAACAATTTTTAAAACTGAGTTTGAAGCTGAGCGGTTGATATACAAAAAAGTTGCGTACAACAGTTGTCCGCCAATTGTTTTGGGTTAAAACTCAAAGCCCTTTTCTAAGCTGGGTAACTACAGTTAAAATGTCTGCTTTCTGGTTAAGGTTTGGACAGTCAGTCGGAACAACCTTATATATAGATATAGATTAGTTAGATCTGTAGATTTCTTGTTTGGCTACTCACGTTTTGTTGGATTTATTGTTCTTGTTGGGCGCCAGAATCTCGCTGAGTTCCATGTAGTTGCCGCGCGACATCTCCGCCATGGAGGAGGCCAGCTGTGCGGTGGCAATGCGACTGTGCTCCCGTGCCAGCTCCTGGCAGCTGCGGCTCTGCTTGCGATTGCCGCACTCGCACTGCACCTCGACCAGCTCCTTGCAGGGCGTTTCAGGACAGACGCCCTCATGACATACGGCCGCGCACTTGTGGCCGCACAATAGACGCGGCTTAGTGCAGCTCTGGCGGCACAGTTCGCCCGGCTGCTGGCATTCGCCCTCATGACAGGGCCGTATGCATTTGTGGCGACCGCAGGCGAGCGGCTTGCCGCAGGCTAGGCCACAACTAAAGCTCCCCTGGGAGCAGGGTATGGTCTTGCGCTGTTCGTGATTACCATGGCACCATTTGGTGGTGAACATCATGCAGGGCGGGCAGCTGGACGCCGCATGGCAATTGTGCTGTGGCGGATGCTCGCAGCCGTGCGTCCGCGAACAGGGTCGCTTGCAGATGGGCTTCTTGGTGCCGCATGGCACCGGCGGATAAATGACCTCGGCGCCGCACTCACAGTACAGCTCCTCGAAGCTGCTGCGATAGCAGGGCGGGCAATTGCCACGATGACAGGGCTGATCGCATTTATGCCGGCCACAGCTGAGCGTGCGATTGCAGGGCAACGGGCAGGCGTGATCGATATCGATGCAGCACTCGGCATTGCACTTGTGCTTGCCACAGCTGCGCTTCTTGGTGCAGCGTCGCTTGCAGCGCGCATCGTCCGCACGGGTAGATAATTGGCGGCACTTGATCATCTGATCCATGTGGCCGCAACGGCACTTGACCGCCGTTTGCTTGGGGCAGGGCGGGCACTGGCCCAGGTGGCATTTGCTGGCGCATTGATGCGGATGCGCGGGTTTGCCGCACCGCAAGGTTTTGCCGCAGACGCCCTCGCAGGTGGGCACCGGATCCAGGCAGCTGCTGCGCTGCGTTGCCGGCACCGGCAGCTTGCCGCAGGGGCAGCTGGTGATTTGTGTGGGACTCAGCTTGCAGGGACGACAGGCGCCGGCATGGCATGAATCCTTGCATTTATGATTGCCGCAGGGCAGCGGCTTGCTGCAGCACTCTTTGCACGAATAGCTGCGCTTATCCTGGCTCTCGCGGGTGCACTGCACCTCGCGCTGCTGTTTGCCGCAATGGCAATGCTGCTGCACTTGCTCCGCGCACGCCTCACACTTGCCCGCATGGCACGGCTGCTGGCAACGATGCTCGCCGCAGTTGAGCAGCTTGTCGCAAATCGCCTCACACTGCAGTGGCTGCTTCATGGCGCACTGCATCAGCTTGGAGGTGCGCCCGCAGCCGCAGCTGCGACTGACATTCGCCTGGCATGGCGGACACGGACCGGGATGGCAGAGCAGCGTGCACGCATGGCTGCAGCCCTCGACACGGCAGCACAGCTCACCGCAGCTGTGGGCTAGTTCGGTGCGCGTCAACGGTGGATTCTTGAGTTTGCCACAGAAGCACAAATATTCGCGCGGCAGCTCCTCCAGCACATTCTGGCAGGCGGGGCAACGCCAGCCCTCGGCGGATTTTGAGCTGCTTGCCCAGGTGATGGTGCATTTCAGATGCAGCACATGATAACAATTCTGGCACGACCAGGTGCCATGATGCGCCTTAATCAGCTCCACACAGACCAGGCACTCCAGACGCCGCTGCTCAATGTCGCGCATTAGCTTTTCCCGCTGCGACAGCTTTTCATGATCGGGCGCGCGTCTTGGTGAGATTTGTTGCTGCTGGTGCAGCTGCTGTTGCGACGACTGCTTCTCTGGCGACGGCTGCGCGCTGTCATTGCTGTTGCTTGTGTCCAACTCCTCGTTGGCGCGTGGATAGCCATTGATGCGATCCCGATTGCGATTCCAATCGTCGCGTCGCTTATTGCTGCGATGATTGTCATAGCGCTGTTGCTTTTGCGGTTTCTTGCCGCGCTCATAGCGCTCCTCGTTGCGATCCTCGCGGTAGTCGTTGCGTCGCTGCTGGCGGCTATTGTTGCCGCTGCCATGCGGCCGCGGCTGCCTCTGGTCGGCTCTTTGTGGCAGCTGCTGCGGCTGCGAGTGCTGTGAAGAATTGCTGCCTGCTGCTGCTGCTGCATTTGGCTGTGTGGCAGTGTTGTTGTTGTTGTTATGATTTTTGATAGACGCCGACGCTGACGGCGAAGCCGCCGTTGCCGTCGTCTCTGACGCCGACGTCAGACTGAGCTTGGCAAAATTGGGCACAAATTCGGGCGCTGTGGCCTGCAGCTTGGAAGCGCTGAAATCGTAGCCAACGCCAGCGGCAGCAAACGGATTATTTCCAAAAGGTGTATAAGGATTGGGATAAGCAGCGGCTGCGGCCGCGGCTGCATTATAACCGTTGCCGCTTGCGGCGCCATCGCCATTTTGAGAGGCATAAAATGTTGGCGCATACAACTGTTAATTTTGAGGTGAATATTGACGTAAATACAACTGTTAAATTATAGCATGCACTTACGTTGCCGCCGCCGCCGAAATTGCTGGTGGCGCTGCTGCTGGGCGTCAGGCCAAAGGCGCCGCCGCCACCACCAATGCTGTAGCCCACACTGGAGCTGGCCAAGTTGTGTTGTGTGATAAATTGATTAAAATTCACATAGTTGTTGTTGTTGTTGTGCCCATTCGCTGTGGTTGAGGCGTCCGCAGCAGGCGCTGCGTCAGCACCGTTCGTTACCAGCTGCTGCTGCTGCTGTTGCTGCCAATACTCGGCCATGGCGTACGCTTGGCAGCGTGCTTTTTTTCGCTCCTCTTTTTTCGCTTTGCCCACGCTGGCGAAAAGTGGATCCGAGTTTTTGTGTGTTCCTTGTTGCTGCGCCTGCAAGCAAACGCAAAGTGTATGTTTAGCAATGTGCACGATCAATTTCAAATATATAATTTCACAATTAATTGCAACATTTACACGAATTTTGTTAAATTGCTTCGCTCGAAATTAGAAAAAAAAAAAACAACAACTAAAGACACACTGGTATACGCGTGTGTGCAAATGTGACAGCTAGATATATGGCGGGTGTGTGTGTTGCTGACGTGCACTGTTACCTTTTTACAGGTATTGAAGCAATGTAACGAATTATTCACTGTTAAGTGTGGAGCAAAGTTGGTTAACTGAGCGAGTGCGGTCTGTTAACAGGTGGAGTGCTCGTTGGCGACAACAGTTTGATTTTCTTAACTGTTAACCGGCATAGATTATGTTAAATGGCGTGTAAATAACATTATGGCAACGCTGAGCAGCAATTTATCGCTAATCGATATTAACAATCGTTTATTTGACCATTTTTTGGCGCCATATTTGAAATTATTTATATTTCACATGTAATATGCAATTTTATTAGAAAAAATGAGCAGCACAAGAGTCTAAACGTCCTTCGTGTATAGATATATGGCCACAATCATGCCATATAGTCCCAGCACCTCAGCGAATATCAGTATCAAGATCATGCCAATAAACAGACGTGGTTGCAGCGCCGTATTACGCACACCCACATCGCCGACAATTCCAATCGCATACCCGGAGGCCAGACCGCACATGCCGACTGATAGACCGGCCGCCAGATGCATATAACCCTTGGCCACCGGATAATTTGCAGCGCTATCCAGTTGTCCAGAAATAAGCACCGATACGACCAGTCCATAGATGGATATGATTCCCGCCATAACAACGGGAATAATCGATTTCATGATCAGCTCCGGACGCATAACTGCCGTGGCGGCAATTCCCGTGCCAGAAACTGCTGTCCCATATGCGGAACCAATCGATGAGAATACAATGGCAGCGACCACGCCCATTATGCCATAGAATGGTCCGTAATCCGGAAACAAGATGAGTTCTCTGACCTTATAGTCCTCATTGGCGCTTTTATAGTGTTTGACCCGTTGCTCAGCCATAATTATTATATTATTTGTTTGATTTTATTTTGATGAAATTTGATTTTCATTTAACTTAAATCACATGCAAATGCAAAAGGCAACTATATAGTTATAGACTTATTTGTTAATCTTGATACTATGATTATATTTACAAAGCCTGCCCAGTTTTTGAGCAGTGTCCAACTGTGACTCAAACTGTGACTTTTTCTAAATCTGTGATTTGAGCCGTGACAAGTAGCAGAGATTAAACGAAGATCAACCAAGATATTAAATATTAATTCGGGCATCAAAATAATAAACATAAAATTGTCTCGAGTTTTTCTTTTTCGAAGGTTCTTATTATTATATTAAATAATCTAAATATCCGAAAATTGCGGAAAATGCTTTAAAACTTTGCTAAGGAAGGACTCGGAATAACTAAAATAAAAATATATAGTTTTTTTTGACTCTAAAGATAAAAGCTTAAAGGAAATGTCAGGGAAAATTCCGAGAGAATTCTTCCGTAAAATCCTTAGATAACTTGGAATTTGTAGGAAATATAGAAGCTTTGGAACAGATCAAATCCTGTTTTCCAGAACTTTTTAACTTTTTGTATAGCCCGATTTTGTTTGATTTAGGCTAATTTTTTGAGGCTAATTTTGTTTTTCGTTTTTAATATATAAATTAAATATTAATTCATACCCTTATACAGAATGGCTCGAAATCGATCAGTCACAGTTTTCCTGCTGCCACTATGCCGGCTTAGAATGTTCTCAAATTGCTGAGCAGCGTTTGCTGAGCCGGCGGAAATGCGGCGGATGCAGCGGCAGCAAACGTTGGCGGGGCCATCACAAAACTGGGAGCTGTGCCCAGGGCCAATGTCTGCTGCTGCTGCTGCTGCTGCTGCTGCTGCTGCTGCGAATGCTGCTGCTTGGGCGGCACCGGAAATGCCTGTGCGCCGTCTAACGGTCTATATTGGCATTTCTTGGCATGGGTGCGCATATTGCTGGACTGGGTGAAGGCCTGATTGCAATTGGGATGTGGACAGACATAGGGCTTGCAGCCCGTATGATAATTGAGATGCGTCTTCAGGTGATGCTTCTTGGTGAAAGCCTTCGGGCACAGCGGACAGCTGAAGGGCTTAATGCCCGAGTGCAGGCGATGATGGAGTGTCATGTTGCTGCGATCCGCAAAGGATTTGCCACAGACGGAGCACTGATACGGCTTCTCGCCGCTGTGGGTGCGCATGTGCTGCTTGAGCAGCATTTTACGGGAGAATCGTTTGCCGCATTCGGCGCACTTGTGCGGCTTGACGCCCGTATGGATGCGTACGTGCATGTTGAAGGCGACACGCTGATTGAACGATTTGGGGCAATAGGGGCATTCGTATTCCTTGCGATTCCGATGGATTTTCATGTGACTGCTGAGGTAGCCCTTGTCGTTGAACGTCTTGCCACATTCCGGACACTCGGCCGCAAACTCTTTGGTGCCGCGATGCACGGATAAATGATATTTATAGTTACGCAGCTGGGAGAAGCCTTTGCCACAGTCCGAGCATTCGTAGCGCGGAGATTTGTGTGTCTTCTCGTGTGCCTGCAAAATGTGCGAGAGAGGGAGAAGGTGAGCGGGTGAGTACGTGAGTGTGTGAGTGTGTGAATAAGACAATTTATTCAATGATAATGCTGCTGCTCATTGGCTTGGCGGCCATTTTGTTCAACTGCGCTCAATTGCGCGCTCTCTCTAACGGCTATGGATATGCGTGTGTGTGCGTGCTACTACCTCTCTCTTTTTCTCTCTCTTTGGCTTAGCTGCACCCATGCGTAAAACCAGTTCTCTTTTTTTTTCTCGTACTTCTTGCCTTTGCCTCGCTTCTGTTTTGGGCGCCACCATTTTAACGATCTTCAGCGGCTACTCTCTACAGATTTGCATAAACAGTTCAGTTGCCCACCCCCCTCCTTTGATAAACCTGTTGCTGTGCTCTTCGCTCCGCCTTTGCCTTAGACTCCGCCCCATTTGCCACCTTGCTTTATTATTTTTTAAACGTGTTCACATTGAAACACGTTGAATATATTTAAAAAATGCAAGAAAATGCCTTGAGCTGCCTATCGAATGTTTTTATATTTATTTATATTAATACCTATTTTATATAGAGAGAAGATTAAACACTCTAGATAAGCTAAACTGAATTTAACCATGACTGAGCAGAGTTAATATTTGAATAAATATTAAATACCTATTATATTAGACTCTAAATAAACAAAAATAAATAAAGAAATATATAATTAAAAAGTAAAATAGAAAAAAATAAAATAAAAAAATATGACTACATGTGATTATTTAAAAACTCAGTCGTATGCTTGACTGTAATATTTATTAATTTTCTACCAGTAAGAAGCTTGTGTTTTGCATTTTTTTAGACTTGCTTGAATTATCAGTTTATAACTGGAACATTTCTTTGTATTTGGGAATTCAATTTTTAGTTTTTCACATTTATTTGCAGTTTGAAAAATTAACAAAATTTAGAGAAAATTTGAAAATTTTTTAATAAGTTTGAAAATATAGGATGAAAATTTAGAATAAATTTGAAAATTTAGAAAACAATTTGAAAATGTAGAATAAAATTTAGAACAAAATTTGAAAATTTAGAAAAATTTTGATTAATTTAGTTAAAATTTGGAAAATTTGGAAAATTTTAAATATCTTTCTGGAACTTTTTCGGATTAGGCTATACCTTTTTTAAAGCCAAACCGATTTCAATTGAAAGCTAATAGATATATCAAAAATTAATTTTTTTTTTTCACATTATAAGGTAAGTATAAATATTTAAAAAAAAAAAAGCTATTAATAAGCTAGCTTTGTTATTATTAGGAAAATTGCGAACAAAACTTAAAGAAATTTTTTTGAATGTAAAAATTCAGGAGAAGTAAAAAAAACATCTGCTAGGCATTTATCCGCCTGTTGCCTGTTGAAAGTTTTGGATAAGAAAGTTCTAGGCTTTCGGTTTCTTAAGCAATTTAAAAATAAATCCAACTCGTTGTTAAAAACCTAAATCTATAAAAATCAAAAATTAATATAACAAATACATTAAAATAATAAAAAATAAATAAAAATAATACACTCAAAATAAAGATCATATACTGTTGCTCGGTGTTATTAGAAGTAAGATTTAAGGCTATTCTCATCGCAGAGAGGCGCCTTTCAAGTCTACATCCCAGCGAGCTACCAACTAGGCTAATCATTTAAATCCCTTACAGTGTTGGGCTATATTCCCGATGCCCTTCATTGTGAATATCCCATTAATGTAAATAAAAGCTACGAAACATTGTAATTACACCCTGCTTTCGCTTGGTAGAGATCAGAACGTTCTGATCGATTCCAGCGACTAATAAAACCAATTGGAAAAAAAAGAAGCACCCTAAATGAAGTCTGCCTGATCTTCAGACTGCAACTTCTCGACTTTTTCTGCACTCACAACTCACCTGGAGCGTTTCGGAGCATCCAAAGACCTTGTCGCAGATGCGACACTTGTAGCTGATCTCCTCGGCGGCGCAACTGCTTCCTCCACCGCCGGCATTTAACTTGGGCAACATGGTCAAGGACGTCGTCGAGGCAGTTGTCGTGGATGTGCTCAGATGCAGATTGGTTACCGTGGTTAATGAAATGTTGGTGGTGTTGCTGGTAATGTTGTTGGTGCTGCTGCTGCTGCTGCTGGCGGTGCTGAGCAGCAGATCCCGTGCCGCTGGCCTGCAGCTGCTCGAGCTGCTGACCGAAGAGGCCGCCGGCGATATCAAAGGTGGCGTCGGCTTGTAGCCGCCAACAAATTGCTTGTAGTAGTCGAGGCATTCCAGGCAATCGGCGCGTGAGCAGGCGGTGGATGCACTGGATCTGGAACTCTGCCTGTTGATAACATACGGCGCAAAGTAGCGCTTGTGCTGCTGCTGCTGTTGTTGTTGTTGTGATGGTTGTTGTTGTTGCTGATATGGCGAGGTGGGCGGCGTGGTCAGGCCGGCGGCAGCTGCAGCCGCCGCATAGGCGGGCAGCAAATGTGGAAAGAATTGCGCATAGAATTTGGTTGCACTGGCCATGGCCAGCAAATCCGGCGGCAGCATGGCATAGCCGCCGGCCACATAAGCGGCCGGCTGGAGCTGAACGGGCGCCAGATTGAGAGCTGGCACTGGAACAGTTGGAGGAGCAGCAGCAGGAGCAGCAGGGGGAGCGGCTGTGCCCGCCTGTTGACGACTCTTGGAGAGATCGAGTATGTTGCATGCACTTGCTGTTGATTTCTTGACACGATTAGCCTGATCCTTGCTCAGTATGCGATTGATGCTAAAGTCGGTGACTTGCGGCGGTGGCGGCGCCGCCGGCAGCTGGGGGCCAGGTGAGGCGGCCAGCTCGTAGCTGCGCTGCAGCATCGCATGCTTAAAGCCCATTGCGTTTGAGGGTACGTTCATAGACAGACACCTGTACCGTGTGCCGTGTGGTCAACTGTCGCGCTACGCGTCGCAATACGAAATGTGCGGCTACAAATGCTGACAACGGCCGACAACGTCTTTTGGCCAGGTCGAGATTGAAGCTGCTGCTGCTGCTCGCTCTTCATCTCTCTCGCTCTAGCTCTCGTTTTCTCTCTCTCCTGGCATTTAATTGGTCAGGAAACGGGTTTAGAGCTGCGCTCAGGCAAACGCTCTGCGCTTGCAGCGAGAAGCCAATTAACCAGCCCAGAAGTGGCTGCCCGAGAACTATTTGGTAGTAGCATTTAACTAGTCACATCTATCATAATGTTTATCACAGATCTCCAAGCTCATTCTCTCTTTTCGGCTGCTCTCTCCCTCGCCCTCTCTCTCTGTGTCGCTCTCTCTCTCGCTCTCCCTCTCTCTCGCTGCTGCTCGTGTGATCTCAGATTCCCTGACTGGAGATTTCTTTCTGCGCGTTGTTTTTGTAATTAATTGCGGTAATAAAATGTGCGCATCGTTAAATTTTCAAAATGTATTTCTCTTGTTCTTCTTCACGTTGTTGCCGCTGTTGTTGTTGCTGTTGTTGCTGTTGCTTGTCCCTGCTGCAGCCTCGTCTTTGGGCATGTGTGAATCTTACGGTTATGCGCATACACCTGGTGCCCTCTTTGGTC